ATAAAGCTAATAATAATAATAATAATAATAATAATAATAATAATAGTTTATCATGTATACAAATGTCATCTATTCTAAGATTTTAATGAAGACAACTAGATGAAAACAAGAAATAAAAAATGTTATGATATGTCAATAGTTGAGATCATGAGTCAGTTGAAGCTAGACCTCCATGGAAAACCTGGAAGCACTGGATGACTGTTTCGTTCTATTGTGGGACTCCTCAGCAGTGCGCATCCATGCCTTCATGATATATATTTTAACATTAAGTCAAACAACATATATAAACGAACAATCTTGTTTTTAATTAGATCTTTATTAAGCTTTACTCGAATATGCAATAATATTTATATGCTTATATAAAATTATTAAATCAATCAACGCAGTTTATGAGTTAATGATAACAACAGAATAGTTTATTTATCATGTTTATTTATGTAATCTATTCCACTGTCATCACTGACTAATAAATTACCTTGGTTGGTTAAATAATTTTGTATATGCATATAATTATTATTGCATACTAGAGTAAATCGGGATGAAAATCTAATTGTGATAGATGTAGACATATAGATCACTTGAAGACTGATATTCAATTTGAAAATCTATCTACCCAGACATAAGGTTTGATACCCTTGACAAAGATCGAACATGAAAGATTCAAGATTATTCTGTTTGGTTGTTGTAATCAATTTGAAAGCAACAGACATCACACGAAAAATTTATTGACTGATAAACATTGAGAAACTATCCAGAAACCAATATCAAATAAGCACATTTTTATCACTAAACCAGATGAAGGATTGGGGACTGTAATTCCAAACACGACGGATTGCATAGATAAGGTAAATACCCTACTAATCTTGATTCATATAAAATCCTTGATGAAAAGACCGAACGTCAATTAACCACGGCATTAAAACTTTTAATACAACAATGCATAGCTGGGTATACCTATAATGAGCTCAAGCCTTCTAGAACACATATCCCTCGACTTTATGGCCTATATAAGGTTCATAAACCAGAAGTTTCTTTGCTTCCACTTCTAGGCATTTCAAACCCACCATACCATTAAAAAATAAATGAATTTGTGAGATTATTAGGACCATATAACCAAGACTTGGTTAAAGTACAGCCTTAAAGACGTATTTAAACTTGGGGATACAATAAAAGATATGAATATAGAAGACAAAATTATTTTATCAGTAGACATAACATTTTTGTTCACTAACATTCCACTGACAAAAACTACCGATCACATATGTGAATAACTGCTATAAAAGTAAAGAAAGAAACATATCACAATAAATAAAATGAAGGAGCTTCTGTTGTGATGCACAATGAATATCTACTTTGAGATTAGCAACAAATTTTATGGATAAATAAATGTAGTAGCAATGGGATCACTCCTAGGCTCAATCCTCGCTAGTATTTTCCTTGCCAAAATGAGAAGTGTACTGTTGTACGACATCCTAAGTAAGCTAGATTATCACTGTTGATAAACAGATGACACACTGATCGGTAAAATTTCGGTTAAAAATTATTTTGCGTTTATTCATTGCTTTAATTGTTCTATTTCCTATTACACTGATATTTTCATTTGACTAGTTAGAGGAATGTTATAACAGATACTGAAGAAAGGTCTTTTATTTTATCCTTTCGCTGATTTCACATTGAATCTAATCGTCTTAAATTTGTGCACATTTCTGTAATTGTTTGCATTTTGTTTAGTAGTCAGTTAGTGAACATTGTTTGACATTGGTTTCGTCTAATGTATATCAGATCAATTAAATTTTCCATTGATAATTTTTAGTCAAGTTCTTAGAAGAGATTTAAATATCATGCTATCATTTTTCCTTAGATCAGTCCAGCCACTTAACTAAAATCTAACCGATCGACGCAATATTAACCAGTTGGTCAGTCAGAATCAAATGGTCTAGTCAATTTATGAAGTAATATAGTCATCGTCCAACCATGTTGATAGGTAGCAGTTCTGTGAAATCTTAGTGAATCTAGAATAATTTGACCATCTTTCATTCAAATGACATTTAAGCACAATACTCTTTGAGTGACTTAGAATTAAAGCATCATAGATTAGTTATTACCGTGTTGACTGATCAGGATCAATATTTTTAACCCTCACTGTATACTGAACTCGTCAAATACTGAAATAATATTGCGTTTGAAATATACCTTAGGTTCTACTTGTTGGGGATAATTTACAATCCGATATTTTTTAATTGGCTCGACGTGTTTCGGATATTTCTAGATTTTACGAAATTTTCCGAAACAATTATTGATATTTTCTAACACCACTTGAATGTGAAGTAATATTAAGAAGTAAAATAATATTTTATGCTAATAAACCTCTTCAGTTATTTACGGTTAATTATGAACAATGTGAGAATCTTGGTTTTTTTCCGTGACTTTATTTATGATATCGGTTTTATGGATATCATTGATCATTTTCAGACAGTATGTGGACCCTATTTATTCTACAAACACTTTGAAATTCAACTAATGTCAAAAGATACATCTTTGTAACAACTCGGAATGCTTTAAATAATCAAGTTTTATCAAATTATTTGTAATTAGTTGAGCATCATCCAATCAGTTGCATATTATTTGAGCAAGAACATTTGGGACTTGAAGTATTTTTCGTATCAAACTGTTTCTGGTATTTGTTCTTCATCACACGTTATATATGAATTAGCGGAATAATGAGGGAATCAAATAGCATTATTTAAGCTAGTGTGACAGTTTGCGTGTATATGTCTACAGTTGAGCTCATAATATTACATTCCGAGTTCTGTTAACAAGTGAATCAGTAGTTTGTATCGAAAAGAATAATTTAGATAAATGTAAGAATAAATGAAATACCTTACTGAATAAGAAAAAGAGAATTCAGTGAAGAAAATTTCCTTCTCGACGAAATTATTTACTTAAGCTGTACATTTGTATATATAGTTATCTGGAAAATGTATGTCTATAGGAGGATAGGAAAGATTGCATCACAAAAATGGACTTGAGACTAAATAACAAATGAGGTTACGTACTAATCAAGGGGTAAGGAAGAAAATAGGAATGTTTCTGGGTTGTTTTTTTCGCATGCTTTTCTGCACTTTTACTTGATTGTTGTTGGATTCTTTTTTAAAATTTATTATTTTGCAATTTTAAACTCATTTGTTATTATTACCTTATACAAGTTTTCTTGATTATTATTCAGTTTAGATTATTCCGACATTTGTGTTTGTCGTTTTTCTTCATATCTGTCAATTGAACTACTTTCTTCCTTACCCCTTGATTAGTACGTAACCTCATTTGTTATTTAGTCTCAAGTCCATTTTTGTGATGCAATCTTTCCTATCCTCCTATAGACATACATTTTCCAGATAACTATATATACAAATGTACAGCTTAAGTAAATAATTTCGTCGAGAAGGAAATTTTCTTCACTGAATTCTCTTTTTCTTATTCAATGATACTATAGGTTATTTTAAATACCTTATTATTGTTTAAAGATTCTATTCCAACAATTTGTTAATAATTTATTTTTCGAAGAGGTTTTGTGGAGATTTTGGTAATTTCAATAGTTGAAATCATGAGACAGCCGTCTCGTCCTAGCATGGGACTCCTCAGCAGTGCGCATCCACGATCCCGCACCTCGCGAGATTCGAACCCAGGACTTATCAGTCTCGTGCGCGAGCGCTTAACCACTAGACCACTGGGCCGACATCTAGCGGTGTTAATTTCTAACTTCAACCAATCCACGAAATGGCGCCACTGTACATCATTGTCTTCAGTCAGCTACTATCTCATAACAGAACCGGTTAAACTCCACTGGTCACAGCTGCTCACTAGAACTCCAGTCAGTCACTAGTGAGCAGATCATTATTATTAGAACGGCTGTCCAGTGCTTCCAGGTTTTCCATGGTGGTCTAGCTTCAATTGACTCATGATTTCAACTATTGAAATAATTTATTTGAATAATTTTGTAAATATTCCCTTTATAATGAATATTATTGTCTATTACATCATAAAGACATTTTTTTAAATAGAATATAACACAATGACTGATTCGAATTCAACATGATGAATATGAATTAAAACTATATTATTCGAATGATCAATTAACCTCTTGTTAATTTACTTGTATCATATGAACACATTTTATACACTGAGAAACTTTAATTTCAATCAGAAAGCATAGTTTACTAATTTCTATTCTTTTATACATGTAATTACAAATTATTCCACTAGTGTTATACATTTAATCATTAGCAGACATGGATGAATTGTAACTGTTGGAAAAGACCGTATATTTATATCCAATCAAACTATTTATAAAAAGTGTAATTTCACTTGGTATTATTTAATTGTATTTTCCCAATGTTGTTATTTAGGACTACAATTAATAAGTCTCTTGCTGGCATATTTACATCGCGCGAGGATTGCCTCAATATTACCTTAATTCACAAGCTTTATAAGCAAAAATGGATGTTGGTGAGCAGTGGAATCCAGGACGCGCGTTTCGTCCTCCTTGGGACTCGTCAACTGGATGTACATACACTCCAGAGTTGATGTTCACTCCGGGACTCAAACCCACTATCGTTCGCTTCAAACGCCATCGCGTTATCCACCTAGCTACTGAGTTCTGATAACTAAATGCTTGTCCAATGGAGTGAAGTTTATAAAATGGTGTGTAAATAATTCATGGCAATTTAAAATATTCATACATTAAAATGATTGGTAGTATAATTCATAAAAATAAGACTATTCAAGAATAAAAGAACACTAGATCGAATTCTGTAATGTACTGTTAAGCTTATGTTAACAAAAAGAAGAAGAAATTAGATAGGTCAGTCGATTCTTTAATGATTTAATGCATATTTATATATCTCAATTAGGTTTAAAATATATTTTGAAATATTTAAATTGAAATAGCATATATATTTTTTTACGCCAAGAATAAACAAGACCCCCATTTCATAAACATAATCTTATTCGAAAAGGAACGCCAATTCTTTCATTTCTTTAGCTTTTGCATCAAGTTTTCCATCATCTGATTTATGTATAACAGGAGGTTGTGATCGAGTCATTAATCTACGCCCAGTCTTTAAATAGAGAACAAACAAAATGGTAAACAAAATAATAAAATTCTATAAATCAGTTTACATAGGTTTTTCTTTTATGCAAAAATCGTTTATTATTTTTTTTGTTAGTTACCAACATCAAAATTGATATCGTATAGAGATTCTAGTGTGTACTGTAGTAGAGAAATAAAAAGTAGTATATTAATCGACAAAGTTATTAACCATATGACTAAACTGTGTCATTTGATTCATGCATTCTTGTTTAGATCTGTGAGATGATTTTAAAAGTTGTTTGATCTATCCAAAAGTTAATCATTGTGATGTAGTTTCGTTCAATTGTTCCTATTTTACAATAATCTTAAACTTAATTCCAAGGTATACATTTTTTTAAGTACAATTTTATTAATACTTTTTATCAACCAGACTACTTATTGCTTGGTATTTCTCTGACTTTAATCTTATCAATTTTTTCATCTGGCTAGGCCGGTGTAACATGTGTCAACGTGTACTGATAATCATTTATGCGAGGTTTTATTTTGTCTATAATTAACTGTTTTTCAGTTCTAAATGTAAAAAATCGTTATCCATTATCCCTACCTTTATTTCCAAAACTTTTTTCATTATTAGTTTGTGATAAACATTCACATTTAAGTGATATAATACCACTTAAATTCAAGAGAAAAAAAGTGTATTATGCTTTGAATAACTTATGAAAAACATTTGTTGCATGGGGTATTAGAACAGTAAACATTCAAATGTTGGAATGGTTTTTCTCACAAAAAATTAACCATGAAAGTATTTACAAAAGTAGAATGCAATTCTCAGATTAAAGTGACGGATAATATGATACAACAAAGTGACGTTTCTTTCAATAACTAAAAACGGTAAATCTAGAAAATCTATATGATAATCTTTGAAACGATCTATCTTTATAACTAAATGATTATAAACAAAATACCTAGTTCTCATTCTGTCGATTATTTATTTAATTATAATCACTTCATTAATCACTTCATCGATAATAGTATGAAATATAGATCAGTTTTGTGTGTTTCATTAGTGAAATGCATAATGACAGCTAATTCGCCATTATGAATTATAGTATTCTGACGATTCTCAATGGTTGCTTACAAGAAGTACAAAAAATTCAGTAATTAAATACGGGATTTTATATTGATTGATTGCAAATTAGTAACTAACGTTATTTTTTCCCTTGTTTTTAGTATTGGTGGGATTCTACGAATCAAACTGAAATACGACTATTAGTCTAAGTAGCATGATGTTCCGTGCACTATATTTTACTGTTAGGTGATCGGGGCCAGTCATCCAGAAAACCTTTGGCTTTAGGATTAGGGGAGCTGACACTTTCTGTGATTCTTAAGCATACATCGCCCGTCAATATAGTCTAAAATGTTACAACTGAACTATTTGAGCCACGAAAAAGACAAGGGACTATGAGAATATTGCACGATTTAGACAAATAGAATCTGACTTCGCTTCTGGATTATATCACGTTAGTCAGGTAACCACAAGGCACTTAGTTTAATCATGTTTGAAGTCAGATGAGCAGTTATTATAAGGCTCAAACCGAGAAAAAACTCATGTTTTAAATTATTTAATGTATAATATAACTCCATGGTTATAGTCGTCTCAAGATATTTACAATAATAATAATAATAATAATAATAATAATAATAATAACAATAACAATAATAATCCAAGTTATTTATTCATTACTTGTTTTTTCGGTGCAGCTTTAGCACGTTCTAATGCTTTTTGTATACGTTCCTCTTGATATAAACGCTGTTGATACTTTTTATCCTCTTTAATTTGTTGCCTATGTTCAATTTCTTAGCTTGTTTTACTTCATTAACTTCGTCTCAGTAAAGTTTGTAATATTTCAAGTAAATCAGTCAGTTTCACTTCAATTTCATATAACATTTGTATTGAACTAAAAAAATATAAATAAAAAAAATAATAGACTAGACAATAAGAAATAGAAAAGATGAAAATTAACGAAATAGTCTAAATAAATCCTCTATTTAATACTCTGACCAATTATATTTTTAGTTCAATGATCAACAGAAGTTGAACTCAAAGATAAATAGTTTTTTAGTGATGAATTACACTTTAAAAAAATAAATAGTTTTATAAATATTTACATTTATTTTGGTTAATTATAACTATATAATATTACTTGGTAGTACATGTTGTAGTATTAATGCTATCTTAGTAATCCACTATACATTTGTTCTACTTGAATATCTTCCTCTGTACTGAACTAGGAAAATTTATCTTTGAAAGACCAAAAACAATTGATACTTTCAGTGTAGATCGTTGTTAAATAAAAATAGAATCTGGTTAAGTCCACTTGTCATTAGTGTGTTGAAGCCGTTTAGTTTGACATTTCAAACTATTTCCGTGACGGTGGGTACCCTTGATGCAAGAAACCAGACTAGCAGTGAACAGGTCTTTATTTAGATCGTTGGACAGAACAAAGTGGAGCGCGAGGAAACCTTTATAAACACCTAGTGTTTATAATTTTTTAATATACAATAATAAGAAATATTATGTTTACACAAAATAAGGAAGTTAGTGAATACTTGAGCTTTAGTGTTCTGAAATTTATTTAGATGTTTTCGGTCAACTCCTAACCATTAAACCTCAGTTGTTACACTATCACATTGTTATGGCAGCCTCATGCTTTTTCCTGGCAGTTGTAACATTAGGCCTGATGAATATTACATTTTGAGTCTTAGTTATAGGACACATAAGTGATGTGAAGACTAAATATCTGAAACATGATTATTATCTTCCCATGCCAGAAGATTAGATGTATATGCTTTTTAAGCAAAGGAGTATAGGTACAATTTCTAATCCTTTCGCCAACCACAAACATGAAACAAACTGCTACAAAAGTTATTGTTCCTGAGTACTTTGGTTTTCACTTAACGTGTATTTAGTTAACTATCAAGTACATAAATTATGCAGATTCCAGCAGTTAAGATTTAACTTACATCTTTGGCAATATGTTCATGTGCTATAATGCATACGACGACTAAAATGAGATCAGTCTTCGTTGTCAATCCACGTAAACAGATTACCCGGTGTACTGAAACATAAGATTACTATCTATGATTGCATTTAATGCTTTCCACTTGTGTGCTGGTATTATTGTGCACTGTAATAATCAAACCTCTAGTGTCCGTGTACGGCAAATTGATAGACTTAGAAGGCAAGGAAAAGGTCGAAAAACTATACACCAGAAATCTACAATGTGTTGTGATTATTTCTGTCGAATTTTCCGGGCTTTCATAGGTTGCATATAAATTATCGCTTATTCGAGTTCACAGTTGCCTAGTGAGATAGCTGGAAGATCTATAATTTGGAAATATATCAGTAGACTTCATACAGAATGAAAACGCGAGTAATATCTATCGTTGTAGGGACGACAAAAAACAAACTCAAACTTGACAGCTTAGCAAACTCATATTCCTAATACCGTTTTTTGAACCGTACCAACTACTCATTAGTATATGCTATATTTATATTTAATATTGTAACGGAAAGAGAACAGTGAAAATCCCTCTGCAGCTTCTTTGTTGAACAGTATTTTCATTTATTTGTTCCTTCTCCCTTTTGTGTATTCCAACCTTTGTTTCGATCTCGTTTAACCATGTCTTTTGCTCTTCAGTCTTCCCCGTTTGAGCCTTTATTATGTGATTTTGATTGAAGACTTATTTTGTTACCTAATTTTCTATTGCATGTTGTGTTTGACTAAGCTCAAGGTCACAGCGTGGTTCAATTTGTGACTGTTAACCTTCTGACTGTCTGCTTGGGAGAATTGCTGCAATCTCCTCAGATAGATATTTGATCCAATCTTATTGGAAATATTTGTATTGATTCTCAGCGCGCTACTTTGCGTTAGAGAAACTCCTGAATGTATAGCACAAGCTATACCGTTTGAGGTATTTTGTATTTTTGATGTAATTTGTTCTGTTTTCTTAATTAGAACCGTTTATATTGAGCACAGAGTTTGTGTTTTGATATAATATAATACGAGTATCTCAAGGACGCGTTGTGAGCTATACAGAGGAACTTGGTCTGGTCTAATCGAATAAATTTTGGGTTCGTCAGTCCGTTGTTCTAACCGAATATTAGCTGTTCGGTCGCTACAAATATATTTGGTTAAATATCATCTACGTTGATGGATGATTTGTTTTAGTATGCAGGAAAAATCTAATTTATTAAGTGAAATACATCGCTAAAACTCAACCTGACGTATGACTAGAAAAACTAGTGGATAATGCAAATTATTAGGCTACGTTGTCAACATCGAAGCCTGGTTCTGCTACGCAGAAGCCGACTTCTACGAGCACGGAGTGAACGACACATGTGCACAAATCCTCGCAGTAGTCAAGGCACTACCGCGCGAATGCAACTGTTTCGTAACACCTAGCATATTTACTAGTGATGTTTCTGAACCCTACGAAACACTTAGACGGTCTATCCTTAAACGCGGAGATCTAACCGATCGACAAAGTTCAGACCAACTCCTCAATTACATCGACCGGCAACACGGTTCTGTGACAGACATGTTGCAAAGAATGAGAAAGGTTATCGGCCACAGAACCTTCGATTATGGCTTATTCAAACAACTTTTCTTATCTCAACAGGTGCAAACTATGCTGGTCTCGTTTCAAAACAACGCCTTAGCCGAGCTAGCTGCATCTGCCGACTGCATCTTAGAAATCACTAAATCTTTTAATACCGGGGTTTTTCAGTCAAAGAAAAGCCTCAAACACTTTTACGTTACCATAAATTTCGTACCGACCGTAAATGGTCATACACCCCATGAAGAAGCACTTCACGTAGGCGGTCTGTCTCTAGACCACAGGAGACTGACAACCTCGACTGGTGCTTGTATCATAACCAGTATGGAAAGTCCTTTAGAAATTTCAGAAAATCCTGCAATTTTCCCAACCCAAGATCGACCGACACGAAAAACAAGTCGGGAAACTTCACAGCCGGCATGCGTTAACGGCAACCGTAGCTGGCGAACATAGCCGTCTGTCATAAGTCACAGATGTGATAACGAAAGTTCGCCACTTCGTCGATACTGGCGCAAAAGTTAACGTTCTTCCAGTGAATTCTAACTACCAGCTTCAGGAATCGGTTTTAAATCTACAGGCGGGAAGTGGAAAGCCTATCGCTACGTATGGCAATGGGTACGTTTACCTTAACGGAGTTTACGCAAACCCATACACTGGATTTTTGTTGTTGCAGATGTTTCTATGCCAATAATTGGTATAGACCTTCTACAGTACTACAATCTAATCATCGATACGCGCAAACGAAGGCTAGTAGACGAAACACTAATTTATCTGTTTGTGTAACTCCTTTTTCTGGTTGTAGATTATCTCCAGTCACAATTAAGCGCACGATAGACCCATTCTATCAACCACTACTCGATAAGTATTCTGGGATATACCAAACACAACCGAAATTGCCTTGTGCAACCACCAACATTACACATCACATCACGGCTACAGGACCACCCGTATTCTCTAAAGCACGCCGACTGGCTCCCGAAAAACTAAGGTTGGCGAAAAATGAATTCTACCACACGATAGACTTAGGTGTCATAAGACCGTCAAACAGCCCATGAGCATCTCCGTTGCACATGGTCCTTAAAAAGGACAGTAACGATTGGCATCCAACTGGTGACAATCAGCGATTGCATGCGAAAACCATTCCCGATCGTTACCCGTTGCCTCACATTCACGATTTGACAGCTACCTTGAAAGGTACAACTGTCTTTTCGAAAATCGACTTGGTTAAATCGTATAACCAAATCCCTATGCCTACTGACGATATTCCGAAAACAGCTATCATAACTCCCTTTGGACTCTAAGAATTTTTGCGGATGCCTTTCGGTCTAAGAAACGCTGCCCAAAGCTTCCAAATGTTTATAGATGACGTTTTTCGAGGTTTCAACTCCGTACATGTGTATGTTGATGACTGCCTAATCGCAAGTCCGGACAGAGAATCGCATCTCAAGCATCTGGATCTTGTTTTCGACCGACTACAAAAACATGGCATTACTGTAAACGTTCAGAAATGCCGAATCGGAACTGACTCGTTAGACTTCCTAGGTTACACTATAGATGCACAAGGCATCCGAACTCTCAGAACCAAACTGATGGCCATTCTGGAATACGCAGAACCGACTATCACCAAGCAATTACGCACGTTCAACGGCCTTGTAAGTTTCTATAGACGGTTCATACCGAAATGCGCGTCACTTATGAAACCGCTAACCGACCAACTTCGTGGAAATGCGAAATCCATCAATCCAGACCACACCGCACGAAAAGCATTCTCCACAGTTAAGGAAATTACCGCTTAAGCAACGATACTTGCACATCAGGACCCTGAAGCACCCATTAGTACCTCAGTAGACGCATCTGGCTCAGCAATCGGAGGAGTCTTACAACAATGGGTTAACCACTCCTGGCAACCTTTGGCACTCTTCTGTAGACGGTCGCTAGACGCTGAATCGAGGTACAGCACATTCGGTATGGAACTCCTAGCTTATGTATTGTGCCTCACGGCGTTTCCAACACTATATCGAAGGTCATGAATCTACCATTTTTACTGACCTTAAACCTCTTTCTCTTTAAGCTCCTTTTCAGACAAGTACTGACCACATGAGTCCCGACAACTGGACTACATTTCGCATTTTACTTCAGACATTCAACACATTTCTGGAGTAAACGATGTAGTCACAGACTCATTGTCTCGTATAACGTCCTTGAGCAGTCTCTAAGGAATCGACCTCCTTAAACTGGCCCAACTTGAAACGGAAGGCAATGATCCTCAGCACGAGTTATCGTCTACAACCCTCAAGCTGAGCATCAAACAGATGGAAACAGGTAAGG